GGTAAGTTCAGTGACCCTTGACCTCCATACACAGGTGACTCCAATTATGAGAAAGGGTATTGGCAATTGGCAACAAGGCAATTGTAGGTTTTTCTCCTCTTTGAATCTTCTTTGAAGAGTGGCAGCATGGGAGTCTGAAAACAACTTTCAAATGAGCTGAAAACAAAGATTGTTCACCGTCATGGTTTAGGGGAAGGATACAGAAAGCTATCTCAGAGATTTCAGCTTTCAGTCTCCACTGTGAGAAACTGTGAGAAAATGGAGGACCACAGGCACAGTTCAAGTCAAGGATCCAAGTGGCAGACCAAGAAAAATCTGGAATAAACAGAAGTGAAGGATGTTGAGAACAGTCAGAGTCAACCCACAGACCAGCACCAAAGACCTACAACATCATCTTGCTGCTGATGGAGTCATTGTGCATCGTTCAACTATTCAGCACACTTTACACAAGGAGATGCTGTATGTGAGAGTGATGCAGAGGAAGCCTTTTCTCTGCCCACATCACAAACAGAGCTGCTTGAGGTTTGCTAAAGCACATTTGGACAAGCCAGCTCCATTTTGGAATAAGGTGCTGTGGACTGATGAAACTAAAACAGAGTTATTTGGGCAGAACAAAGGTCGTTATGCATGGAGGAAAAAGAAYACAGCACTCCAAGAAAAACACCTGCTACCTACAGTAAAATTTGGTGGTGGTTCCATCATGATGTGGGGCTGTGTGGCCAGTACAGGGACTGGGAATATTTGTTAAAGTTGAGGGACACATGGATTCCAATCAGTATCAGCAGATTCTGGAGAACAATGTCCAGGAATCAGTGACAAAGCTGAAGCTGCTGAAGCCGGGGCTGCATCTTCCAACAAGACAACAACCCTAAACACTGCTCAAATTCTATTAAGACATTCATGCAGAGGAACAAGTACAACATTCTGGAATGGCCATCTCAGTCCCCAGACCTGAATATTATTGAAAATCTGTGCTGTCACTTAAAGAGAGCTGTCTGTGGTTGGAAACCATCAAACCTGAATAAACTAGAGATGTTTCGTAAAGAAGAATGGTCTAAAACACCTTAAGCCACAATCCAGAAGCTGTAGGAAGTGTTTATAGAATGTTATTTCTGTGAAAGGAGGATCTACTAAGTATTAAGTTAAGGCTTTTTTGGTGCCCAAATTTATGCACCTGCCTAATTTTGTTTAACCAATATTTGCACATTTTCTGTAAGTCATATCAACTTCATTTCACTTCTCAAATATCACTGTGTTTGTCCCCTATATGATATCTTTAACTGATTTTTTTTATCCAAACAATCAATGATTTATAAAGGTAAATCAGGTAAATTAACAAAGCTGCCCAAACTTTCCCACCCCACTGTACAAATGCGTATAGAATCGATGATTACTCTGAACATATTTGGGTGAGAGAAATTGTAGTACCACACGCATCTATAAAAATTCCAAGTTTATGCAATTAAATGCACACTAGCAGTGCATATGATCTTATCTAACCATGGACATTAACCCATAAGGACCATAGTGTCACTGTGGGTCTTTGGGTTTTCTTATGAAACTAGAAATGTATCCAGGTTCTAAAGGGTTAAAGTGTTTTTCCCCAATATCAATACACTGCAGTCATGAACCAATGCTGCTCTGATTGTACAAAACAACTAGCTCAGAGCTCAAATTGTTTCTACTAAAACCATGATTTGAGACAAACGTTTGTCAATTATCAATCAAATAGATGTTTATTAATCAAAAAATACAGCAATAACAATAATGATCCTGCTAATAAACCTGAAATAATAAAAATTAATTACAATTTTATTATATGAAGTATTAAAGAAGGTTATTTTTTATTTCTTTAGAACCTTTGTGTATTCCATATTCCATCAAGGGGTGCTCCAGAACCCTCAGCACCCATACTTTTCACAGCCTTGATCCAGTGATTCATGATATTTTGTTATTTGACAGGCAAACAAACACACACATGCACAGACAAATATATTGTCACAAGGCATTCTGAATAACATTTTCATCTTAATAAAAAACATAACTCAGATTAGATTCCATGTTCTGAATAACTGAAAAGTTCTGATGCAGTCGTGTGATGCAGTAGATGTGTGGAAGTAAAATAAATACATTAAAATTAAAACCACTAACCAATAAATAAAACATTTCAATGTGGTTATTTCTAATTTTCACTGTTTCTGTGTTTGTAAAAAGAGATCTGRATGCRTCGGATTGCAGCTGTTGTTTTTTCACTGAAAGCCCAAAATAATGTGGTTGATGCTTTCAATCTCGAGGCAACGTCTTTACAACAGATCAATTGTTTCATCTTCAGCTTAAGCTTCTCCTTCTGCCTCATGGTCTCTGTCAGAGGCTGAGCTGCTTTCAAACAGTCTCCCGCTTCAGTTATCACCAGCTGTGAGGAAATGCCAAAAGATTATGTGAATGAATATGAGCCTCTGCTCATTAAAGGAGTCAAAGACCCTACCAGCTCAAAGGTAAGCAGACTTATCAAACACATTTGTCATTCAGGAGCTGATCTTTAAACCTGATCTAATCAGGTTTTTTTTTCTCTTGGCAGTTTCCAAGCAAACTACTTCTCCTGGCCATGTTTGCCACATGTATAGGAGGGACCTTTCAGTGTGGATATAACATATCTGTCATCAATGCACCCACAAAGGTAGACAAGCTTCGCTGAAATTATTCTTAAACTGCAGAGTGTCTTTGTACAGTTTATTATAAACAGATGAGGCACTCATGAAGTCTAATTTAAATGTTTGTGTTATCTGTCTAAATTTATCTCATCATTGTAACCGATGACCTAAACATGCTTGATCTCTGTGAAACAGACTCTGTTCATGTCTCTCTAATAAGAATCACTTGCTTTAACTCACAGCAGCAACAAAGTTGTTAAATTCTGGTTTATGTGTTGGCATAATGTGTGAATAACAGCGTGTTCGTGATAGTGTCCCGAAGAAAGAAGGATCTTTTCCTGTTTTGTGGTGAACAAGCTGCGTTTATTTAGCACTTTTTTTCTTTTTATCCGATGAAAGCACTTTTACGATAAACATATTCACCCACTCGTGCACAGATTAGAGGGTAACTTAGAGGTCAGTGTTTTGCCAGAGGACACTTTGATAATCGGTGGAGACAGATGGGATTAAAGCGCTAACATAACTGATAAGTTGTGGATCCTCCTCCCTGAGGCACCTGAGCTGTAATATCTTTCTCATCCAGGGCCGGTTCGTGGCATAGGCAGGATGGGCAAATGCTAAGGGNGTCACTTAAAGAGAGCTGTCCATTCTCAGAAACCATCAAACCTGAATGAACTAGAGATGTTTTGTAAAGAAGAATGGTCTAAGATACCTTCAGCCACAATCCAGAAGCTGTAGGAAGTGTTTAGACAATGTTATTTCTGTGAAAGGAGGATCTACTAAGTATTAAGTTAAGGCTTTTTTTGGTGCCCAAATTTATGCACCTGCCTAATTTTGTTTAACCAATTATTGCACACTTTCTGTAAATCATATAAACTTCATTTCACTTCTCAAATATCACTGTATTTGTCCCCTATATGATATCTTTAACTGATTTTTATCCAAACAATCAATGATTTATAAAGGTAAATCAGGTAAATTAACAAAGCTGCCCAAACTTTCCCACCCCACTGTACATATGCATATAGAATCGATGATTACTCTGAACATATTTGGGTGAGAGAAATTGTAGTACCACACGCATCTATAAAAATTCCAAGTTTATGCAATTAAATGCACACTAGCAGTGCATATGATCTTATCTAACCATGGACATTAACCCATAAGGACCATAGTGTCACTGTGGGTCTTTGGGTTTTCTTATGAAACTAGAAATGTATCCAGGTTCTAAAGGGTTAAAGTGTTTTTCCCCAATATCAATACACTGCAGTCATGAACCAATGCTGCTCTGATTGTACAAAACAACTAGCTCAGAGCTCAAATTGTTTCTACTAAAACCATGATTTGAGACAAACGTTTGTCAATTATCAATCAAATAGATGTTTATTAATCAAAAAATACAGCAATAACAATAATGATCCTGCTAATAAACCTGAAATAATAAAAATTAATTACAATTTTATTATATGAAGTATTAAAGAAGGTTATTTTTTATTTCTTTAGAACCTTTGTGTATTCCATATTCCATCAAGGGGTGCTCCAGAACCCTCAGCACCCATACTTTTCACAGCCTTGATCCAGTGATTCATGATATTTTGTTATTTGACAGGCAAACAAACACACACATACACAGACAAATATATTGTCACAAGGCATTCTGAATAGCATTTTCATCTAAATAAAAAAACATAACTCAGATTAGATTCCATGTTCTGAATAACTGAAAAGTTCTGATGCAGTCGTGTGATGCAGTAGATGTGTGGAAGTAAMATAAATACATTAAAATTAAAACCACTAACCAATAAATAAAACATTTCAATGTGGTTATTTCTAATTTTCACTGTTTCTGTGTTTGTAAAAAGAGATCTGRATGCRTCGGATTGCAGCTGTTGTTTTTTCACTGAAAGCCCAAAATAATGTGGTTGATGCTTTCAATCTCGAGGCAACGTCTTTACAACAGATCAATTGTTTCATCTTCAGCTTAAGCTTCTCCTTCTGCCTCATGGTCTCTGTCAGAGGCTGAGCTGCTTTCAAACAGTCTCCCGCTTCAGTTATCACCAGCTGTGAGGAAATGCCAAAAGATTATGTGAATGAATATGAGCCTCTGCTCATTAAAGGAGTCAAAGACCCTACCAGCTCAAAGGTAAGCAGACTTATCAAACACATTTGTCATTCAGGAGCTGATCTTTAAACCTGATCTAATCAGGTTTTTTTTCTCTTGGCAGTTTCCAAGCAAACTACTTCTCCTGGCCATGTTTGCCACATGTATAGGAGGGACCTTTCAGTGTGGATATAACATATCTGTCATCAATGCACCCACAAAGGTAGACAAGCTTCGCTGAAATTATTCTTAAACTGCAGAGTGTCTTTGTACAGTTTATTATAAACAGATGAGGCACTCATGAAGTCTAATTTAAATGTTTGTGTTATCTGTCTAAATTTATCTCATCATTGTAACCGATGACCTAAACATGCTTGATCTCTGTGAAACAGACTCTGTTCATGTCTCTCTAATAAGAATCACTTGCTTTAACTCACAGCAGCAACAAAGTTGTTAAATTCTGGTTTATGTGTTGGCATAATGTGTGAATAACAGAGTGTTCATGATAGTGTCCCGAAGAAAGAAGGATCTTTTCCTGTTTTGTGGTGAACAAGCTGCGTTTATTTAGCACTTTTTTTCTTTTTATCCGATGAAAGCACTTTTACGATAAACATATTCACCCACTCGTGCACAGATCAGAGGGTAACAGAGGTCAGTGTTTTGCCAGAGGACACTTTGATAATCGGTGGAGACAGATGGGATTAAAGCGCTAACATAACTGATAAGTTGTGGATCCTCCTCCCTGAGGCACCTGAGCTGTAATATCTTTCTCATCCAGGGCCGGTTCGTGGCATAGGCAGGATGGGCAAATGCTAAGGGTGCTGTCCATCTAGGGGGCACCACAAATTATAGATTTTTATCACAGTTTAGCTGATTTATTCTGTAGAATAATCACTGATTACTCAGGTTTATGAAGGCAACTTGTTCTGTGGGTTACTCAGCCTGCTGCACAGGAGGTTATATGGTGCAGAGGACATTTTGTGATAAAAGTATCATATGATGCAGTTGAGACTAACTACTGATTCTCAGTGTGTAAATAGAAAACAAAATAAGTACAATGGAAGTGTCATTTATAATCTCAGATGAAGTTCAAGTTAAAGTCTGGGTTTCAGTGTTCTACCTTCTTAAAATACTAATTTATGTTGTTTTAATATTCTCTAAAATTTAGTAAATTTCTCTTTAAATGGCTGGAAAATGCAAAGTTTTGAGTCGATCTAACCCTCCCTTATGACTGCTTCACTCCACAGCTGCTCTTTAACATGAACAGGTGTTCCTCATTGCTGTCAGCAGAAGTAGACTTCTGGTATTCTGTTTCAAATGAATTAGCCCCTRTTTTAATCGGACAACCTGGTTTCTAAAGATAAAAAATATCATCAAAGACAAAACTATTTAATTGTGTATGTGAATGGATGGAAACTGGCAGTGAGATTTACAAAATTACACAAGGGACCCCACCTCAAATCTTGCCCAGGACACCAAACTGGCTAGAGCCAGCCCTGTGGGTTTCAAACAGTTCAATGTGCCAAGACATGCTGTGTTCCTGCTGACGATTTTGGTCTTGTTTTTATGAATATATTGGAAGGAGAATGATTCACATTTGTTTGCACGTTTGTTGATGGTTGTGATGCTGTAACCACTGATGGAAACTGTCAATGTTTAGCTCTAAAATGAGACTTGGGTAAGAAAATGGGGAAGTGTGACACCTTGTCCAACACTTCTTTTCTTACACTGAAACAAACCYGACACACAGTCATTCATCCTTGATGCTAATATTTTAGTTTTCTAATCCAAATTTTTTTTTCCCCAGTACGTGCAAGATTTCATCAACGTTACCTGGACAGAGCGTTACCAAAGCCACATATCAGAGAACGGTCTCACTCTGCTTTGGTCCACCATAGTGTCCATTTTCACTTTAGGAGGATTTACAGGCGTTCTGATCGGCAGTACTTTATCTGTGAAGCTGGGAAGGTACGGAGAAATTTAAACAGACTGAGTAAAAGTATTTATGGCCTAGATTTTGACAGCTGAAGCGTAACGTTTCAGGAGAGGAACACTGCTGACCAATAACTCGTTCTCATTGATGGCTGCTCTGCTGATGGGCCTGAGCTCCACTGCTGGATCGTTTGAGCTGCTCATCATTGGACGTCTTCTTTGTGGGATAAATGCAGGTCAGTAAAAGAGCAATTTTCACACCACGTCACAAATTGTTGTGTGATGTGTTAGCACTCAAATCAATTTTGAGATCAATATCTGTAAGATTTGATGTCTAACATCTTAAAATGGACTGGCTAAAAATCTTAACAATGTAGTGATTACTTTCTGGAAGTTTCATTCAAATCTGTCTAGTGGCTCATGTGAGGTTTTTCCAACAGACAAAAATGGTTGACGCCAACACTTAATGCTAAAGATTTTTGCAAATTTAGCCATTWGCCATTTTTGTGTTTGCTAAAATTGATTAGATGTGCTAGCCATATTGAACTGGTTTTGACTCCAAAATTAGCTGTTTGTGAATGTATGTCCAGTAAGTACTTTCAGAAAATTTCAGCCATAAAAAAACATTGGTTACTGAGATTTAAAAAAAAGACACACAGAGAACATCAACAATGCGTAGGTTGGAAAAAGTAAAAATGATTTATAAAACATGGTGAAAGTGCTGACCTCACTTCATTAATATTGACTAAATAAGAAATTGCTGGTTTGAAAACCTGTGTAGTTCAAGTAATTTATTTTTTGCAGGTTTGACTTTTTAGCAGGATATGCTTTCAAAGCTGTTGATAATTTATGYTGCCTTTTTGTTTTCTATAGACTGTCTTGAATCACGTTAAAAAGAGCTGAAAATATGTTGTTCAAACACGTTCYTACTTTTCAACACAAAACAATAAGAGCAGAAATTGTTGTAAAGTGCCGTCTGGTTTCTGGTCTCTGCAGGAGTGGCTCTGTGTGTTGAACCTATGTTCTTGGGGGAAATCGCTCCGACTGCTTTACGAGGCGCCATGGGGATGGGAACCTCCATTTTTCTCACTGTTGGGATCTTTTCCGGACAAGTCATGGGCCTGAAGTAAAATCTGCAAATCGGGTGTTAAATTACATCGTGGCACGAATTCTGATCAGACATGTTGATTATACAGAGAGATTCTGGGCAGAGAGGAGGACTGGGCCCTCCTGCTCTCCACCACGTGCATCCCAGCTTTTCTGCAGCTCCTGTTCCTGCCCTGGTTCCCAGAGAGCCCGCGATACCTGCTGATTGATAAAGGGGACGAAGAGGGATGTAAAAAAGGTACACAAATTATGTTGCTCCATCTCAAAATCAATGGAACTTTATGGAAATTTAACTCAAAAGGTTAAAAACTTCTCAGAAACTGTCAGTTTAAGCATGTGACCTTCTGATTACTGCACAGTGAGGTGGAGGATAAAATGTGGCTTGATGCTGAAAAAAACTCAGAATGTAGTAGTTTGATCATGTGAATGCAACACAGACTTGTTTTCCTGTCTGCAGCTCTGATTCAGCTGCACGGTGTGGCGGACTCTGTTGGTGCACTGCAGGACATCCAGAGAGAGAAGGATAATTTAGTTGGTTTCAAAGCCAAGAAACCCTGGGAGCTTTTCGCTGATCACAGCGTACGCTGGCAGCTCCTCACCGTCATGCTGCTCAACGCCGCACAGCAGCTGAACGGCGTCAATGCTGTAAAACTTCGCTCACAGCCACCACTTCAATGATTCAGCAAAATGAAAAAAAAAAACTGAAAGAAATAATAAAATGTGTAGTTCTTTCTGATTTTAATTCATTGTTCTCTTCTTTTTTGTACCCTAGATGTACTTTTACACACATTACGTGTTCCAACAGTCTGGTATTCCCGCTGATAAAATACCGTATGCAACCATTGGAACAGGTGCCTGTGAATGCATCACAGCTTTAACATGTGTGAGTATGACCTTTTTTCATTACCGCCCCTACTGCCTCGACCAGCTGCAAAATAATGACTCAAGTGTGGCTAAATGATGCAAACCCAACTCTAACAAGCTGAGCCATCTGAGAATAAAAGGCCGTGAAGAGGTTAGATRATTCTGTGAAGGATTACTGGAAATCAAGCATGACGGATTTTGAGGAATGCATCTCATGAACACTCTCTCTGGTCTTGTGACCCGATGTGTGTCTCTCAGGGTCTGCTCGTCGAACGTCTGGGAAGAAAAGTGCTCATCTCAGGAGGATACATCCTAATGAGYGTCTGCTGCGTTTTATTCACCCTGACGCTCGCCCTTCAGGTACATAATTACAGGAACAGACATTTAAACTGCAGTTCCACGCTGTTGTTAAAAGGGTGGTCCAGAGATTTTATGAAGTGGTGTCTTATGGAGAAGTTTCAAACAGTAAATATCTCACCTGCTGTAGATATCTTAACARCAGTGTCTGGCCAATACCAAAGGGGATTGCTTCAGTTTTAAAATTTTTCTAGTCTTAAAATTTTGCAGTTTGTGCAGATATTTGTTTTATAAACTTTTAAAGTGCCTTCAGTTTCACAAACAACCCTGTTCTAATTAAAATTTATAATTATTTGCAAGCACATTTAGCAGCAGAAGCAGTTAGCTGTAGCATTTTGTGGTTTATCCATGGGCACTTCAGCAAGAAAATCATATTTCTGTCAGAATTATGTGCCTTTACCAGCTGTTTAAGACTTTTCCAAAATAAAAAAAGGCATGTTGGGCCAGTTTAAATTATGTTTCCCTTAAAATCAAAGGCTACAGTTTTATGTTTTATTGTTGTTTTTATTGCATTAATTATACCAGTCAGAGGGTCTTCTGATAAAAATGACACTTAGGCTAACACTATTAATATTTGACTATTGATTAATGTGAATTGTCCATTTTTTAATTAATCCTTGAAGGAATGCAAATCATCTGATGTCTTTCATGAGAATTAACTAAGGTCCTCTTACAATCAAATGACCGAGTTATAGCCATTTTGGTAAATCTTGTAAATGACATTTTGCACAAACTGGTGTAATGTAATGAAGTCTTGTGAGACATACAACACTCAAAATATGTACTATACCACACCAAATTTTATCATATCTGCAAACCTGACTGAGTTAAAACAATTTTTGTGTTGGAAAACGTTGAATAACTGTGGTGGTTATTTTGAATTGTGGTAATGTACGTCCAATGATTACATTCTGAGAGTTTCAAAAAGTCAGCCCAGTGGTTCGTGATATTTTGCTAAAACACCAGATAAATGAACACACACACACACACCTTTGATGGCAGGCAATAATAAATTGATTTTATTGATAAAGTGATGTCATTCAAAGAGCTATCTATAACAGGTAAGACACTAAATGTTCATCACTTTAAATTCCACTTCAAAAAGATCCGAACTGTCCCTTTAACTAATTTGTTTTCGGGTATTTTTATTTATTTATTTTTTTCCTTTCAGGATATCAGTCCAGTTTTCCCCTACCTGAGCGTTGTCTGTGTTTTTGCTTTTGTCTTGAGCTTTGGCTTGGGACCAGGTGAGTGTCTAAAAACTTAAACTTGCTTGACTGACCCTTTCACCTTTGATCCTTTTACCCCCRGCAGTGTTAGCAAAGGTTCCTTCAGTTCTTTCTGCTTTGTGAAGGTGGTGTGACCAACATCTTGACCACGGAGCTCTTCACCCAGACTTCTCGCCCTGCTGCCTTCATGATCGCAGGATCAATCAACTGGCTCAGCTTCTTCTTCATCGGCTTGGTCTTCCCTTTCATCATGGTAAAAAATGTCTATGTTATCTTTATTTTGAAAATGTTATTTGGCTTGATTAAAATAAGTGAGAACATTGCTTTATTTTTTAAAGAGACTGTTCAAGAAAATAACCAATTTTAATAAAAAGTACTCAAAATAAGCCTTTCCCTTCATTTGATAAAAAACACAAATCAGTTGATGTAAAATCWTTTGGGGAAAGTTAAGTTGATTTAGACCATGCTGACCTTATATATTTTTTGATTAAAAAGTCTCTTTTAGAACATTTGTTTTCTGTTTTGAAATGTAAAATAAAAAAATGATTTAATGTCTTCAACCCAGATCAGATTAAACAAATTAAAATTTTTAAAATTTGAATGGGTAACTTTTTATTTCACAGATCGGCCTTCAGCACTACAGTTTCCTGGTCTTCTTTGTGGTCTGCTCCTCGGTGGCTGTATACATTATCCTCGCTGTTCCTGAAACCAAGAATAAAAGCTTTGTGGAAATCCAGCACGAGTTCCAGTCATCCCGCAAGAAAAAGGGCGTCAGTACTGATGAAGCAGAAACACTCATWATATCCACTAGTTTGTAAAATACATCAGACTGAAGTGTGGGGCTCTGGCAAAAAGATGAGCAAAAGTATCTTATAGTTCACACAAAACATACAGTAGCACCTCAACATTATCACAAAGTGTACTATGTTGTAAATGTGTAAATCTTCAGTTATTTAAGATAATTTATTAGTTTTTTTGGTTCATCTCCAAACATGAGCTCAAGTAATTTACATCTAATATGTTGTATCAAAAGATGGTTTGTGCAGCTTTTTATGGTGCTCTATTTAGATCTAATAAAGATCAACACGTGAAAAAAAAGCATTTTGTGAACTTTTCATGCTGCTTGATATTTAGGTTTTTCTAATCCTCTGGGGTGTGCATGTGATCTGCTGAACAAAGCATTCACTCAAGTGCCAGTCATGCATTACTAAGAAGGAACAAGATAGAAGTGTTTCAGTAATAATAAAGTTGAATG